AGAGACTGAGTGCCCAAACTGCAATCCAAAACCCACTTATGCATCGTCGAGTGCCAGGTGGGTGCGGCCCATAGGATGGGCGTGGCTGAGGTGGTAACGGCAGACTGGATGGGACTAAAAAGTTCAATCAATCAATTCCAATTTTGCAAGATCTTTTTTTTTCCCACGAGAAGTTGAAATTGACTGATTGAACCTTTTTTTTTTTTTTTTTGCACACGGCGGTGGAGGCCTAAAGCGAAAAGGTTTTATAAAACCCAGCTGAAGGCCTAGGACTGGGGCGACAGCATGCGTGCCCACAGAGAGGGCTCTGAGTGCCGCCTCTGGCACCCGTGCCATAGGTTCGCCACCACTGCCCTATACCATTTCGGACAAATAGCTGTCCAGTCTCTTCTTAAAAACTTCCAGTGTTGAGCATTCACTGCTTCTGGAGGCAGGTTGTTCCACTGGTTAATTGTTCTAACTGTCAGGAAGTTTCTCCTTAGTTCTAGGTTGCTTCTCTCCTTGATTAGTTTCCATCCGTTGCTTCTTCTTCTGCCTTCAGGCGCTTTGGAGAATAGCTGGACTCCCTCTTCTTTGGGGCAGCCCCTGAGATATTGGAACACTGCTATCATGTCCCCCCTCGTCCTTCTCTTCATTAAACTAGACATACCCAATTCCAGCAACTAACGTAACACCTGCAGTGATAGACTTAGCAGTTGTGGCCAAGGTGATTGTAAAATGGGGCAAAATTCACTTAACAGCCGCCTTGCTTTGCAATGGAAATCTTTGTGATCGTAAGTCGAGGACCATCTGTAGTCTGATCTTCTAAGCACGTAGGCCCCCTTTTGTAATAAAGGGTAGCTATCTAGCCGTGCTGTTTTCTGCCATTAGCTACTGAATGTTAGTCAGAATTTCTGGAGAGAGATTTCTAGCCAAGTCTGGGGGTTTAGGGAGAGATTGCCCGAACAAAGTACTTCGTTTTATGAACTGTATTTTTATGGTACACGTTGCGCAATGTATTTTTGTGAGCAAACGCGGCCTACATTAAAAAAGAGTGAGTATATTTTTGTAAGTAGTGATTAAAAAGCTGTATGTGTAATAAAAGTTTGGTTTTCTTAACGTTAAAATGAAAGCCTGGGAAAAAAATTCCAACTGAAATTTGCATTTTTAAAACTTCCCTCTGGGATGTGGAATCCTTCTACAGATTGTCGTTTCCTTGGTGAATGGGCGTCCAGGAGCCATGAATTTCTCGTATTCGCCTCTTCTGCGGAATTTCACCAAAGCGACGAATATTCGGTTGCGCTTCTTGAGAACCAACACTCTGCTTGGACACCTGATGGGGAAGGCCTTGAGGGATCCCACGGTGACCAGGAGGGTAAGATGCTTCTAAATTTCATTTGAATTGTCAACCTAGTCCAGGGGTAGGCAACCTTGGCTCTTTTATGACTCGTGGATTTCAACTCCCAGAATTCCTGAGCCAGCCATGCTGAGGAGAAAGGGAGAGGTTTCCATGCTGAGCCATGCTGGCTCAGGAATTCTGGGAGTTGAAGTCCACGAGTCATAAAAGAGCCAAGGTTGCCTACCCCTGACCTAGTCACTGCCACGAGTCCAGCTGTTTCTGGAGATGGATGAGAAATTAATGTAATTATAAACCAACTGCTTTGAAAGAGCACCACAAGCCATTTTGGTGTAAGTGGTTAAGGTTGTGGTCTACAAACCAGGAGACGGTGAGTTCTAGTGCCACCTCAGGCATGAAAACTGGCTGGTTATTTGGGGCCAGTCACCAGGAGACTGTGAGTTCTAGTCCTGCTTCAGGTGACTACTGGGTGACTTTGGGCCAATCTCTTCCAACCCAACCTTCCTCACAGGGTTGTTGTTACGAGGATAATAGAACAGTGGTTCTCAACCCTTTTAATGCCGCGACCCCAACCGGTCGTAAGTCGAGGACTAAACCGGTCGTAAGTCAAGGACTAAACCGGTCGTAAGTCAAGGACTACCCAACCGGTCGTAAGTCGAGGACTTTCCCTGCCCGGGAGCGCCGCGCATGCGTGGTTCCGCCCCCTGCGCCGGCTGAGGCATAGCTGGCAAGCGGCAGAGACGGAGCAGGC